ATGCAGTACCAAACAGCTGCGTCACTGTTTAGATAACACATAGACCTTGAAGCAGCACTGTATTGAAACAACGCATGACAAGGTCACCTGTCTCGTTCTGTTTGCTGATTAATTGACAAGTCAACGTCGACAATTTGCAGACGAAAATGCGAGATGTTTATCGACGAGCCGAAGAGCAAGCGACGTGTTATGAGAAAAAGCGAGCATTTACGCACATTTTACGAGCATCTCGTCTGGAAAAGTTCAGCGTAAGTACATCCACATTGACTCACTTTTTGGCAACAACTGCCTCTGACTTTGGTGGTCGCAAAGAAGTTTAGTTCGAAAATTTTCTCATCAACCCAATCCGTAAGAGAGATGCGGCGCACCTCGAGCTCGTGCAGAAACTTTTTGCATTTTATCAGTTGAATCTATTCGGGTTGCTCCAATAAAAACCAGCATAGAAAGAGTCGGTAACCCTTCAAATAATGATGCTTCCCAAGATTTTCTGGAAGGAGTGACGGCAGATCCTGAGATCAAAAGCGATGTGACTCACGCTGGCTTCATCGTTGTGAGCCATCCTCTTCTAGGTGATTGCCCCAATCCTCTGAGTGTGCACAGTTCTTGAACTTCCACTTTTCGCAATCCCAGAGACGTGTGCTTGAACCTTGAGAGCACCGAACATGTTTCAAAGAGTTGAAGAGGGAATACCGAGTCGCTTTCCGAAGTTGCAATTTCAGAGACCGTCATTGGGCAGCCTCTTGGTAATGGGTCGATGCAAAAAATCTTCATGGCGAGAGTTCAGATGAACTTTGGACCAAACAACTTATGGTGCTTCTTACATAGTTTCAAAGCTTTCGAATAGTTTTGAAACACTCTGAAAATACTCCACGGCTCAGTGCCAGCAAGCGGTCAAAGCCGCGTCCTATACTTTTCGGCCACCCTGTATGCTAACGTACGTACGAAATTTTATGACCTACACTCATTGTTGCCGTGACGTAATTAAGCAGTAATACGATGGCTGAAGGGCGGTAGTGTTTCAGTGACACCCTCTAATGTCATTGGTAGAAGGGCATCTAGAGGCGGTACCTGCCACACCCTCAGCGCGCCGAAGGGACATGGCCATCAATGACGTTCAATGACGTCATGAAACCGCAACGCCCCTAGTCATCGTCACAACTGCCTTTGAAATCCAGCAAGCGAGAAGGAAGAAACATGAACGGTGGTTGGGGAAAGATTGCATTTCTGATTTGAGAGAAATTG